GGCTGGTTCGGGGGAGGTCTTTGATGAAATGCAGCCCCGAACAGTTGAGACATGCATCGGCTCGCGAAGAGCATTTGGAGGCACTGGCTTCCAAGACCTCCGAGGGAGGCACGCCGTGGACTTTTCGAAAAGTGGCTGAAGAAATAGGAGGAAATCGCTACGAGGATATCTCTGGAGAGGTGCCCCTTGAAAGCGAGTGGGTCCGTGCACAAGATCCTGAACAGGAGGATCAGCCACAAAGGTTTGCAACGCCTCGTCATCGAGTGAGGGGAAAACGGGGAGAGCCCGAAGCAGCTACGGATATGCATGATGCTCTAAACGAGGAACCGAGCACTCCTTCTGCCCCGAGTCGAGCACAACGGCCACGGACTGTCCAGCACTTGTCAGGAGGAGCGCTGTGTGCCGAAGGTTGGTGGGACCAGGTGCCAGAGGCACATTTTGGAGAACACTGCAGCTACTGGGCGGAGGAGAATGCTGCAGTCGAAGTGGCCATAGACATGCCGACAAGTAAGAGAGGTATTGAACAAGCCTCCCGCAACTTATGCGGGTACTTTGCGAGTGCTCTCAAGCGTCGTGCTGTGGAGGTGTCGGAAAAGCGACTATCAGAAGGAGAACGGCAGTGTTTTCAAGAGGCCAAAGCCATTGAGGTGAAGAACTTTGTGGCCTCGCGTGCATTTGAAGCATTGCCGCCGGGAATGAAGCCCGATCGGAGTCAGGCTATGGGCATGCGCTGGCTGCTCACCTGGAAGACACGCGATGACGGTTCCCAGAAGGCAAAAGCCAGGGCAGTACTTTTGGGATATCAAGACCCGTCGTATGCTCACAGATCAACGACCAGTCCAGTCATGACGCGTCAGACGCGTCAAATGGTACTGCAGCTCGCTTTGAATCGGAAGTGGTCCGTGTACAAAGGAGATGTTTCCGGAGCATTCCTACAGGGGCGAGAGTATCCAGAGACGCTCTTGTGCATTCCATGCGATGAAATCTGTGAAGCAATGGGACTGCAAGGAGGGAGTGTAGTTCGGATGCGTAAAGCTTGTTACGGATTAGTTGACGCTCCTCTTGAATGGTATCGGACTGTTGCCGAGTACTTTGAGGCCCAAGGACTCACTAGATTATGGTCTGACGCGTGCGCCTGGGTTTTTCGGAAGGATGGTCAGGTGAAAGGAATTATTTCAGGGCATGTGGATGACTTCCTGTTTTCGGGGGATGAAGAAGATGCTGAGTGGCAGAGAATCATTCGGAACATCAAGGAACGCTTTAAGTGGGGTGACTGGGATAAAGATGTGTTCATGCAGTGTGGTGTGCAAGTGACTCGAGGCCCAGGCCAATTTCGGTTATCCCAACCCAACTACGTTGAAGGCATTCCGGAAATTCCCCTGAACAGCAGTAGGCGGAAACAGGAAAAAGAAGACACGACTCCTTATGAGAAGTCTCAGTTGAGGGGGCTTCTAGGAGCATTGAGTTGGCACGCACAACAGGTCGCGCCACACCTTTCGGCGGATGTCAGCTTGATGTTGTCTGAGGTGAGCAAAAGCAAGGTGTCTCTGATCAATCGTGCCAACAGACTGTTATCACAGGTGCGGGCCCGCAAGGACCATGCAATGATAATACATGCATTCAATGAGTCTGAAGAGCTTGGGGCTTTCGCGTGGGTGGATGCCGGATCTCAGAATCGACCTGATGGTAGTAGCACCCAAGGAATTCTTATTGGACTGGCTCCTGTTTCCATGTTGCAGGGCGAGGTCGGTCAGGTGTCTCTCATGTCGTGGCACTCGAACAAGATCGATAGGGCCTGTAGAAGTCCTGGAGCCTCCGAAACCCAAGCAGCCATCTCAGGAGAGGACCTGTTGTATTTCGCTCGCTACCAGTGGAGCGAGATTTGTTTCGGAGAATTGGACGTGAGGGATCCTGATAGTTGCGTGCGCAAGGTTCAGGGAACTTTGATTACTGACAGCCGGAACGTGTATGACAAATTGCACACCGAGGTGTTAAGCATAAAGGGAGCCGAGAGAAAGTCTAATATCGAACTCCTGAGCGTGAAAGAGGCCCAACAACGAACGCAGCTACATGTGCGGTGGGTACACTCGGAGGCGCAGTTGGCGAACTCCTTGACCAAGATGCACGGGGGACACGAGTTGGAGCTCTACTACCGGATGGGTCACGCGTGGCGTATCGTCGAGGACCCCAACATGAAGTCCGCCAGGCGTCGAAAAGCAGAAGGCCTACCTCCACTGGGAAACGTTCCGAATGAGGGTGATGAGCCGGCACACACAGGTGAGCCAGATTCCGAAGAGATTTGCAGTTATTTGATTCAGGATCACATGTATCTCTTTTAGGGGCCGGGTACCGGGTCATGCAAGCTTTAAGCTTGTCTGCTCGTACGCATCCTGGTACTCCGCAGTTTGTTAGTGATCGAGAGCCCTGGGGCGATAGGGAAAACATTGAGCTGTGTCCGCATTGCCGACGCCGAGCATCAGCCCTACGACCCGTGTGCTGTCTCTACTTCATACTTGGGGAACCACGGCAACCACTTGCAGGGTGTTTGGGTGTTGTGGGTTCAGCTGAAGTTGTCGAAGACTGACTATGGTTCAAGACAACGACCTGAAGCTACAGCTGGATCTTTACTTGACTTTAAGTGTACTTTCCTATATCGAACTGATACATCGTTAGAACCCTATAATATCTTCACCTAACCCTAAATCCCTGGTGCCCAATTGCCTTCTCAGGCCTACACATGTACCAGCTGCCGCATCTGATCCATGGTGGACAAGTGGCAGGCCAGATTCGTCCGCGAAACTTCAGGTTCATAATAGGTCCTATTATCAGATAGAATATTGAGTTAGAATAACTTTATATATGTTGTGTAGTGGGTATATATGTACGGGTGGGGTGAAAGATAGTCTTAAAGGGGGAGAGGCAGCTGTTTCGGGATAGCTATTATGTAGGGGTACCGAGTGCGGGAATCATGGTTGCAGGTATATGATGATATGCAAGGGTGTCGTACATGTATGTACAGTACTACGACTTCTACATGTTCACGCGCCTATAGTAAGCCCTTTCTAGAATAATATAATATGAACGTAACTTAATCTATATACAACATATACAGACCTTATATAATATTTAATATGGGGGGGCATCGTAAATTATGAATAGGATAATTCTAGTTTATAGAATGTGCACTAGAGCAGATGTATATATATATATATATATATATATATATATATATATATACACACCCAGTATTTTAGTATGAAATATATAAGTAGTACATAGAGAAAGCTATATAGCATACGTATATTATACACAGTCGTATATAGTATGTATATGTACATACCTATATATATATATATATATATATATATATATCCCTGGCAGGGTATATATATATATATAATATGTATAGAATGTAGAGTAGAGTAGAGGGTAGGGTAGGGCAGGGTAGAGTATATGTAGAATGTAATAGCTATGTAAGGAAACTGTACACTGCGAAGCCATCCTCAACCCCGAAATGCTCGCTCGAACCCGTTATGTAGCTAGAGTCATCAAATCTCGCACATATTTGTAGTTACGGGTCAGCTACTCTGACCATGACTACGTCGTCACTTCTAGCTGAATCTTCCAAGTGGTAATATCTAGATCTTGTATCGAACACATAATATTTCCTTAAACCGCCGAGCCCCTAATCCCCAACTATTATAAGTTGCCTACTCAGGCCATCACCGTGGCAGCGGCGGCATCTCATCGATCCAGGACCAGCAGGGGCCGGCTTCGCGAATTCCTGGGCTGTAGGTAGGTAATATAGATAGGTATAGGTACGTAGCTAAGTACGTATAAGGTCGGTAGGCAGGTATAGGTAGCTTGGTACACGTAGGCAAGGTGGTCGGGAGGCATGCATGTGCACAGGCATTCGCGGATGTTTAAATGAGCATATAGAGGGGTGTGTGTGTGTGTGTGTATGTTTAATATGTATGTATGTATGTATGTATGTATGTATATATATATATATATATGTATACATGTATATATGTATACATGTATATATGTATACATGTATATATGTATACGTATGTGCATGTGCATGTGCATGCCTTGATCACATATGTATATATATATATATATTGATACGTGTATACACATGTATGTATGTATTCTATATATATATATATATATATATATATATAGTCATACTCACAGAAAGATGTCTGAAAAGGCAAATGTCAACTGTGCTAGACAATATGCCTCTACATGTACCCGGCACGATGCCCCGTCTCAAGTATACTGTGCCTCTATCCCCAACCAACCCCTGCCTCTCCAGTGCTGACGGCACGTACGTAAATTCGCCCCATCCGGTGATACTGAAGCACTATCTAGTGCTAAAGACAAAATACCAGAACACCCACACTACCCACGCACTTCAAAATTTTGTACCGACTGACCTACCTGCCTGACATACTTACCTGTCACCCACCAATAAGTAATCCTGTACCTGCTGACCCGTAAACCTAGCTACCTACCTACTTACCCAGCGACCTACTTTTTATTAATTATACATAATTACATAATATAGTGACGTTGGGTAGCTCCTTGATCTGGGTCCGCTGAAGGGCTTACAGGGCTTTGAAAGGCAGACTCCATGCCCTCAAGAACAAGCCTCTGAAGCACCGAATTCAAGCGAAAACCATGGCAAAGCAGGGCTTTCACGATACTGTTTTCCGCAAAGCAACTAAGATTTTGTCCTATGCCATGCGTAGCTATGATTAAGCTGAGCACGACGTGACTTCATCCATGCCTTGACGCATGCATGCTTCGAGCACATACATCTCGATCGAAATGGAATTCAGCACTCCTCCTTGGCATAGCTCCTACGGAGTGTTGCCACTTAATTATGTCGCTTCTTCTTGATAGCAACAAGCTTGCAACCACCTCCCTGCGCACAAGTGTGGTTTCCAGGCGTGGGTCGCAGTGGCTCATAGGTCGGACAGCCATTGGGATCATCAACCCAACCAACGTGTAGACGACTGTCCTCTTTCCCGCTTAATGTACAACGGGACTGCTCCATCACACCAGTCACAGTATCCGACTGTCTTGATCCGATGTGAAGCAAGGCGAAAACCATGACAGTCTTGCCTAACATGAACATTTTTCCCATGCTCCGTCATGTAGAACGGGCCCTCAAACCTGAAGTATTCTGCTTGCGGTTCCGCAGTTCCAGGTCTCTCATAGGCCGTTGTCTGTGTTCCCGTACTAACTGTACGAGGCGTCCGGCGTCTTAGTTCTGGCTCTTGTTGAAGGACAGGCGAGGACTCAATCGCTCTGGTCATTGCCTCCTTCACTGCTCCCTCAACTCTCTGATGCGTTGTCCTCCCTTGAAAAGCCTCATGTGAGTCTCCCCAAGTCCGCTCCAGTTCCGTTTCCACAGCTGCCTTTGCCAGGTCACGCATGCGCTGTAGCCGCTGAGCCTTCCGACCCTTCACAGCTCTTGTCCACATGCAATGCCCAAACCATTTTACAGCTTCCCAGAATACCACAGCTCCCAGACAACACATAGCCACAACCAGAAAAAGTTCATCAACCCCTGTTCTCGGCAAAGGTTCCTTCTCTGAGGCCTCCGCCACGGGAATCGACTGCAACGCCAGAGTAATCAGGACCAGCATCAAAATCCTCACTGCCTTTGCCTGTTGAGCTTCTGTTGGTAGGCCTTCAAATCCCCACATCTCCAGAAGCTCCCACAAGCGTGCCTTTGGATGTGCCTTTGTCCCAAGATCTGCTAGCTGCCTTTTTCCTTCAACGAACTCCACGCAGAGCATCTGTCGTTCCACTTGCTCCAACACATAGGCACTTCTCACTTTCAAGTGACGGGTTCGCCAAGAGCCCGGCCCACCCTGCAACATCGCTGTTGGGGCGGCATTGTCCACTCTGAGAATTCGGTCCACACGTCTATTGCAGAACTCATCAAACAAGCAAGCTATGCCTTCCGTGAGAACAGCAGTCTGCGTAGCTTCCAGCAACTCAGACTCCATGGTCGAAAGGGTGACCATACCTTGGCGTCCTGACTTCCAACAGATAGGGCTATTGTTGATCGTCACCACAGCTGCTCCAACAGATCGCGAACCGGATGGAGCGAAACTGGCATCGGAGTAGGCTATTACCTTTAACCCGATATCATCACCTTTATCTGTGCATGTGTTGTGTGTGCGCGCCGTGGTGTTGTGGGACTGCTTGCTGTTGCTGCTGCTGGTAGGCTCGTCCTTGTAGTCGCCGATCACAAGCTTCATCTGCGACGTGCCGGCCAGGTAGCTGAGCACACGCCTGGCAATTTTTACGATCCTCTTTGGATGCTTTGAGACCCACTGAGACAGGTGACTCACAACATGTTGTAGGTCTGGCCGACTTCGCATCGTAATCCAAAGTAGCTCTCCGGTCATTCTCTGTCCCAACTTTAGATCTTGCTCCGTGAAGTCTTCTGCAACATCCTCATAGTCTTCAGCGATCCATTCCTTCGGGCACGGCAATCTTGTAGGGCACGCCTCCGTCATCTCATGAGCTCTGAGTAAGTCCTCAATGTAGCCCGTTTGCTTCAGCTCGAACGCACTCGTAGGTCTCTGGAAAATCTCTGTTCCCAGGTACCGTGCACCATCTGAATCATCTGCCCATTGCAAGGCAGAACAGGGCCATTCACTTCTGATCCACTCATCTAGAGCCATGACCAGCTCCGGTGGACCAAGGAAGAAGAGGTCGTCAACATAGGTGACCAGGAGGGCTTGTAAGGTGCCCTTCGCTTTTTCATTGCCATATTCATCATAGGCCAACCAGATCTCCTTGTCAACCTTGGACGGCTGCAACGTAATGAAACCTCCCTTGTATGGTATCCTCGCCCCTGACAATCTGGCCGTACGGAACGATGCCCAAATCGATGGACTTTCGCGAAGACCGTATAATGGTTTGACCACCAACCAGCACTCTGTTTCTTCAGCATAGTTGTTGTCGATGAGGAACCTGGGGGGCTGCACGGCATACTGCGAGAGATTTGAGGGCCACTCCGAAAGTAGAAATGCCCCTGTTATATCACTTGCTGCTCCTCGTCATCTCCGCTTTGCCGCATAGGCAAGAGCTGCCCTGAAGGTTTCAATGGAGGCACCTCCCGCATACAGCGAGCCAAAGCCCTCCTCTTTCTCCGCGTGGTTTCCGCAAAGAACAAGGCGATATTTTCTTCGTAGTCGATCACCTGGAGCATCAGGAGGTTTCATTGTGTAAACTCCCTTACTCGGTACCAAACGCAGCTTGCCTTGTCGTTGAAGTTCGAATGCTTGCTTCATCGTGATTCGACGTAGGGTTCCCGTACTGAACAGGTTGTCCAACTCCTTCCGGATGGCCTTGTCCCACTTCTTCACAGCTCGTCTCACTTGGACTTGTGGAACCGTATATACAACCTGAAGATCACCCTGCATCTCATCAACCAGGGCTTCATAATCTGGCTCCTCCTGGACTGAAGCTGCCTTCAAACACGCATTCACCGTCACTTGGTCAAACTCCCTGATCTCATTCTCTGCATGCTGGATCATCTCATTGACTGCAGAGGTGGCCTTGAATGCTTCTTGTTCAATGTCCTTTCTGGCTTCACGTAGATCTTCTGCAAGGGACTGCTCCTCCTCAAGTAGAATTCGAAGGGCTGCGGCTCGTTCTTGTAGATCTTCCAGAAGTTGTTGGTGGCTTTCATTGATTTGACATAGGGAACCTTCCAAACCATAGTCTTCTTGGGTTGTCTTCTTCCTCGTAAGCTTCAACCAACAATCACCTTGAGAGGTCTCCTTGTCAAACTCAAAACCCAAAGCTTCCAACCAAATGCGGTCCTTCTTTTTCAAGTTCGAGAACCTTGGCTGGTAGGCAACCAAGACAATCCGATCCTTGCCTTCTTCATGAGGTTGCACTTCATGCCATCGTCTTGGATAGAAACGCACTGGTCTTTTTCCTTCAAAGGTCTTGATAGTGCCCACCTTCCAAATTCCTGGTCGTACTTCTCGCTGAACTTCTTCTTCATCTTCAGCCGCTGACCCTTGAACCCAAACTCCACCACCCGAGAACTCGCTGAGGGGGTACACCGTATTCATACTGTTTGGATGATTGTGTATATCTCAATGGCAACCCAAACTGGAGTTCTTCACAATGCCCAGCGCTCCAAAAGTCCTGACACCCGCGACCTTCTTTGCAAACAGGGCCAGATACTTGGTCACGTTCGGCATCCGCTTTGCCCCATCTCTCAGACCACAAACTCCACCGTGGGTAAACATTCCAGTTATCCATGATGTAGTACTTGACGTGGGTCTCCTCGTAGACGACTTTGAGAACGGCTGCTTAGCTTCTTCGAGGTGTGTGTAGAGCTGTAGTATATCATGGTTCCCAAATGAGTCACTGTGCAACAACTCCTTGGCCAACTCCTCAGCACGTGCTTCTGGTTCCGATAAAGGTCTAAGCACCCTCAACGTGGACTTGGTTGTGACTCTTCTCAAAGGGACCCGCGACGGTGTAGATGATTCTAAAACATCACGAGGACCAGGTAGAGCATGATGTGGACCGGAATCTTCTGCTGGTAGGTCGTCTAGATTCTGAAAACTAACCGGTCCGTCCCCCCCAATCCATCGCCAACTCTGGAAACAACTCATCACCTTCAAAAGCCCCATAACCCTGATCTTCTTCTTCTGGTCCAGGTAGAGCATGATGAGGATCGGAATCTTCTGCTGGTAGGTGGTCCCCTCCTCCCCCAACTCCCGGTCCCCTTTCTGCCCTTGTAGAAGCCGTCTTCGTAGTCAGTCGTCTAGAGGGTGATGGTAAGATCATCTCCACCTCGTCCAGCTTCACTTCTGCATCCGCATCGATGGTGTTGGCTCTCAAGTGCATGCTGTTCACATATCTTCCTTCAGGAAACCGTACTGTGTGTCCACCTCTTATATCTGGTGTCGGCCCCATGTAGACGCCCTCCGTCCACAGGATCTCCAAGTCATTCTTGGCGCCAGTGCCCCAAATCTTGTTCCGAACGTGGACAGGGGAGGCAAAAGGAAAAACAGCACGTCCTCGTCCCAACGCATGTTCCCTTTGGTGGTAAGCGGCATAGGCCATCGCATGTGGCCAGCAAGCTCTAGGCAAACCCGAGGCCGTCAACAAAGCCTTTGTTCTCCTCTTTGCTCGCTTCACCGCTGCCTCCGCGCGACCATTGGTCTGAGGAACTTGACTTTCTCCACACGTTGGAAACACATCTCGGGTCATAAGCCACGAACGGAGTTCTTTCCCACGAAGCTCACGAGCCCTGTCACTATGAACCCGAGTGACGGGCAATCCTTCACTTCGAAGTTGTAGGTAAAGGCTTTTGACCGCTGCATCCACCTCCTTTGCCAAACGCGTCTTCAAGGGAATGGCATAATGCAACACCTGGTACTCCGGCAGCTCCCCAATGTCCTTCAACAGCTTGTTGTAGCGCTCTTCATGACCTTTCATGTCCTTGATATCATCGGGTTCTGCGGGCGGTTCTTCTGGTCCAACTTCATCCATCAAGTCGTCCTCTTCAAAGGCCTCCTCCTCTTCCGGGGTGTAGTCGGGGATCGGAGCCTCCTTGCTTTCATGAAGTTTCGGCATCACATAGGCCCCGATCAGAGCATACTTGAAACCCTTTGAACCTCCATACTCTCCCTTCACACGGAAAGGCCCACAAAGGTCCATTGACAGAACGTAGCAAGAAGGAGCCAGGACTCTTCTGTGTGCCCTTCCCGTCGCACAAGACTCTATACAAGTGCGGCAGCGCCGCTCAAAGGGCAAATGCCCATTCTTCACGTGACGAATCCAACGCCGTCGTTCTGGTTCCTTCATTTGGTCGAAGGTCGCATCCATCTTCTTTATGGCCCATCCATTGGGGAACTTCCACCAATTGTAGATGCCGTTGACAATCTCGTTGTAGAGGGAGGGTGGCCATCTCAAGTCCCGCTCAAGCTTGGTTCCACCTTCTTTCCTCTTTTGTGGATCTCTTTCTAGGTCCAAATTCGTAGCAACCAAGAAAACCTCATTGGTCTCAGTGGCCATGAAATCCACCAACGGTACATCATACTCACTTTGAAACTTCTTCCACGACTCCGACTTCCAGTAGGCTTCCAAGGAGTTGCCGCCCATCGCGATGTAGGGTGTAGGGATGCCGTAGAGAGTCGCTGCCTTTCGAGCCGCAACCCAGAGCCACATCATCTTGAGCCTCAGCTCTTCCGTGGAGTTTGTGGGAATGGCTCCGAAAACTCCCTCAAGTTGACCCCGTAGAGCACCCCACATCAGTGCCCGATAGGCCACACTCTCACCCTTCATGCTGAACAGCTTGCTCTTAGCCACATTGATGTCCACGAACACCGTGTCGTTGGAGTTCAGCACCTTCAGATCCGCTTCATGTTCTCCGGCAAAACACCTCACTGTCCACCTCTTCTCCATCATAGCCCGCCTTGTTGATCTCCTTATCGGGAGGGCCTTGAGATACTTCCATCCGCTCTTGTTGTCCAGGCTCACCGTGGGCGCAAGGAAGGCTAACAATTCTCCAGGTAGGTCTCCGAGGGGTGAACCCTTCTGCATCAAGGCCTCCAAAGCATGCCCACGTTCTCCCGTGTGAACATATCTTGCCAACGAGTAGTCCCAAGACACTGCCTCTTGGGAGTCCAGAAGGCGAACCGTAGTATCCAAGGTGTTGCTCTCCAGTTCACGCAGCTTCAGGTCTTCCAACTGCGCAATGATCTCAAGCGCCTGCAACTCCCCCAACATAGGATGATTCCCCTTCACAAAGGTCTTCAGCTCCCCGAATTGGGGATGGTAAACTCTAAGTCCACCTTGACGAGTCCACTGTAACTCGCACCCCAACTTTTGAACCATCGCCCCTAGGGGTGTATAGCTGGTGCCGCCGGTGCCGTAGGATCATCTCGAGCAGCCAAAAGAGTTCCTCCGCGGTTCTGCTTCAAAGTAATGAACTGGCCTCCCGCAAGTTCCACTCGCACAGGTAGAGCCTCATCCGCTTCCTCTTTGTTCAAGGTAGGTCTGAAAGAATGCGAAGCACCAGTATCAAGCAAAGCAAGCAAAGCAGCTCTCCTTTCGTCCTCCGACTCGACACGCTCCATGTGTACCTGGATCTCATTGAGGTCTGGTTTCACCTTCATCGCTGCCAGCTTGGTAAGCTTGCTCAACATCGCATTGGCTTCCTGCAAGAGGGCTTGCACATCCTGGGTTCTCGTAGCTTCCGTAGCTGTAGGCTCCAAGGTAGTAGATGCCGTGGAAGTTGCGCTCCCCAACTGCTGGATAGACTCCAGCAAAGCCTGCTGGGACGCCAAAGGAATGGGTGGTTGTGCAGCCGCCAAAGCTGCCACCGAAGGGGTTGATCCCGAAGTCATAGAGGACGCTGAAGTTCCCCCACCTTCTCCACGATCTGGCCTCGTTCCCTTTCCACCTTTCCCATTCTTCTGGGCCACAGGACAATCTGTAATCTGTCCTTCGGTGAGTTGTAGCTCCACACTCCCAGCATCCTGCTTCGCTTGGCCTCCTTGCTGTCAAAGACGTGGTCAAACTTGCACGAAGATCCCCTCTTGCAGCCAGCGTCCGTCTGGAAGAACTTGCACGGTGTTTTGTTGCCCGGCTTCCTCGTAGGCGAACCCCCAGGTGACGCTGTATCACCTGTGCCCCCTGAAGTCGTCACGGCCTTGAGCTTTAAGGCTTCGGCTTGCGAGGTAGTGGAGGTAGTCGAAGTTGGTCTTGTCCGTGCCGGCGCTGCTTGCTGAAGTTCAGCCAGAGCATGGCTGTGATACCGGATCACGCTGTCCTGCGTCGGTCTGCTTTGTAGTTGGAGCTCATTCTTAACAAGGGACAATCTGAAGCGGATGTCCGGGTTGGCCTCCAAGGTCCTTGCCACGATCAACTCAACGCTCCGCAACAAGATTGAAGCATCCGGTACCGCTACACCCATCTCCTCGGCCCTCTGCAAGTAGCGTCGCCATCTCCTGAGGGCTTGGACGGCGTCGTGAATGCCATCCCCCGCGGAAGCCCCTTCCAAATGCTTCAAGATCGAAGCTCGTTCCGAGGCTCCTCCTGGTTGGTATATCACGAACATCCGATACAGCAAGGTGGGCACGTTGTCCACTCTGTGGGTGATAACATCATCCTTCATTGTCTTCGTCATAGAACTCAACAACAAAGTCATCGTCCTGCGCTCCAAGCGTGACCATCTCTCCGCCTTCAGCTCTGCAGGGATGTTCACCTCCAGCGTAAGCCTGGCAATCGGAGAAGCGTTCACATACTCCCACAGGAGTCAGCTGCAGGAGACGCCATGGCAAAGGCAAAAGCTGAGTCAACGGCTTGAAACAAAAGCTTGCATGGGGTAAGCTCAGCCACCGTCTTGCACAAGTTTGCAGCGGAATGCTATCAAGGCAACATGCGAGTCTGCAGGGCACAACCGCGAGCTTTCTAGCAAGATGACCTCCCGAGCACAAAATCGCACCGAAATCATGGAAAACATAGCAGCCTTCACGGGCGGCTGCACGGCGCAAGCACAGGGCTGAGGGTCCGCCGGAAATCACGGGCATCGGCTAAGGCAGGTTAGGGATTAGGGTCAGCGCCGCGAAGGGCGAGCACCGCAGCCTCAAGAGCAGCAACGCGAAAAGCCTGATCGAGCTCTTGACGCAAACTCTGGAGTGCACTGCTGAACAAGAAGGAAGCACTCGTGTAGGAAGGGTCCTCGCCCAGGCGGCGAACTGCTCCTTCGTCCTCCAAGAGCAATTGCTGCAAACGGCCCTCAGCAGAAGAGACGCGATAATGCAACAGCCGAAACTCAGAAGCCGGAACATATTGCTCAAGAGCAGTGGCTCACGAAGGACCTGAGCGAGAAGAGGGCCCCTCGAGGGAGCACGCCTTGGCGGGCTCCTGGATCTGGAACGAGCACAATGCCGAGCGGTCCGACAGGCCTCCAATGGCCTGCTCCGCTTCGAACAACCAGTCTGCGTACTCCACGGCCGACTCCGGGCCAGCCTCTGGCATCTGTGGGATCTGGACTGATCCCTTCAAATCGTTGTCCTTGGTCTCCGATTTCCCAAGGAACGCCTGCTGCAACTGTCTCATCCCTTGAACAAGCAAGTGCAACGGTTCCTGCACTTCATCCTTCGCAACCTTCGGGGTTTCCTGCACAGGCTCGGAAGGCTTGGAGGCTCGGGCCTCCTCTCCGTAGCTTCCGTCAATCAACCTCCGAAGCCCCAACAAGCCCTCTCCAGTTGCCTTCGGGTCCTGATTGGCCTCGCCCTGTGAAAAGGAGTTCTTGCTGGGATCACCTCCGCTCTCCGGTTCATGAAGCTCCCGCGGACCCTTTGTGTCACTCGATACCTCACCTCCTCCCGAAGCTTCACCAGGTTCTCGGCCAGATGCTCCTGGTAGGACAGGCTGTGGATCTCTATGACGCGGTCCATCTTCACGCTTTAAGTCTCTGACCATATCCAAAGACTCCCGAAGAGCACCACGTAGCTCTTCGTTCTGTGCTCGCAGCTCTCGTAGCTCACCTTCCTTGGACTTCATCGCCTCATTCACTTGGTTCCGGACCTCCTGCATGATCACCTCTTGGGGTATGGAGCTGGTATGGCTCGCTTGTTCCGGTTCTCGCTCTCGCGGTCGTGGTGGCGGGGCGGGAGTCAACAGAGACTGCCTCGCTGTCCACTCATACATCGCCCTCGCCATCGCTGGATTCATCAAGCTTCCAGGCGTTGGCAACCGGTCTGGTGACGGATATGCCTCAGGAGAGGCAGGCGCGCTTCCCGTCATTCTCCTTCTCAAAGCTTGGCCAGCTCTTGCCAACCCAGACCACATTCCTTGCCGTTCCGGTTCTCTCAGATGTTGAGGTAGTCTAGGAGGATCACCCTGAGGTTGGAAGTAAGGAGGTTCTCCGAAGTAAGGCCGCCCTTGAAGGTCACTGAACATCGACTGAAACTCTCTTTCTCCACCCGACAACGGTACATCTCCACCTCCTCCTAAAGTCGGGGTCTCCATTGACCTTCGGGAAGATGCGTACGGAGGCGGTGGAGGCAGAGTTTCTTCAAGCTCTGCTCTCTCTCTGCTTTGCTGCGGCAGTGTTGTTGGCTGCTCAGGAGTTGCTTGTCGTGGTGTGTGGATTGCATATGTAGGCGGATGTGCATTCGCGCTTAACCCACCCTGTACTCCGATGACAGCCCCACTCTCATCCCGACTCGCACTTGCAGCCTCTGGCCTCTCACTGCCCGACATCACAGTATCGAGACTCGCTTGCACAGTCACCGGAGACCCCTGGCCTTGTACAGGTAGTTGACGCTGCACCCCATTCGGCAGCTGTTCCCTGGGTCTTCCGTGTTCGCCGCCGTTCTGAGCAGCAGCTGGTTCTGTCAAGCTATAGTCTGGCCCCGAAGCTTCGCCCTCTAGAACACGCGTAGGTTGGGCGCTCATAACCTGACGTTGGGTAGCTCCTTGATCTGGGTCCGCTGAAGGGCTTACAGGGCTTTGAAAGGCAGACTCCATGCCCTCAAGAACAAGCCTCTGAAGCACCGAATTCAAGCGAAAACCATGGCAAAGCAGGGCTTTCACGATACTGTTTTCCGCAAAGCAACTAAGATTTTGTCCTATGCCATGCGTAGCTATGATTAAGCTGAGCACGACGTGACTTCATCCATGCCTTGACGCATGCATGCTTCGAGCACATACATCTCGATCGAAATGGAATTCAGCATATAGGTACCTACCTATCACCGGACCTACCTATGCATACCTCCCCCGAGCAGTCGCTAATTTGATGTCCAAGACCCTCTCCGAAGACGAAGTCGGAGCTTTCGATCCAGCACAAAGTTCCCGAGAACCTGTGCAACAAATGGCGGACAGATCAGCCTCCCATATAGATTTCGGAACAACACATATATAGCTGGAGAGCAGAGACCTAAAGTACATAGCTGTATATATCTTCATCAGGTAATCTCCCTCCAGTCTTGCCTCGTCTTTGCTTCTGATCATGATGCTCTCGTTGATCCCCGCCTGCAGGACATTGGTTGGTGAGATGAGCTGGCTCTGATGCAGGTCTAGGTCGTGCTTCCCAGGGTCCGTAAGCTGATGAAGTTTCGGGCTTCGTTGTCTAGAGTGGGGCTTCATAGGTGTGTGTATGTACATATATATATATGGGTCAGCTTATATTGTATACGTAAGCCCCAGAATTTAAGATCTGTGGTGCGGGTCAAGCGGTCATTCGGATCATTTTTGTGGCTCGACCGCCATACTGCTGTCTTTAAACGGTTGAAAGGCTCTGGTTTATATATATATATATGTATATGTATATATATATATATCTATATATATATATATATGTATATATATATATACATATATATATATATATATATATATGGTCATATATATATATATACATGTATATATATATATATATATATGACCATATATATATATATACATATATATATATAGAAATGGTCATATATATATATATATGTAAAAATATGTATATTTATATATATACATGTATATATATATATACATACATATACATGTGTGTATATGTATATATATATATATGTACATATATATACATATATATATATACATATATATATATATAAACCAGAGCCTTTCAACCGTTTAAAGACAGCAGTATGACAACAGAAATTAAACCGAATGGCATTGCTCTTTAGTGTTTGCTCACGAATTAGGCAGTATCTGAGAGTCGCACAATATAGTCTTCGCTTGCACCGTTCTGTGGGACATGGCAGAATTAGGGTTTGCGGCATATTTGTTGTTCATCATGTAATGAGCTGCTTTAATAGCACGAAATTCCTGCTGGGAAATCCCAGGAGGGCCCATCGTGATTCCCGCACTCCGTGATTGGGTTTCCGGGTTAGGGCCAACTATCGGGGTTCTGGGTCCCAAATATCGGGTTCAGGGGCCAAATGCGGGAAGGTGTGGGCCGTTAGAGAGCGATATTCGCCGTTACGATGCCTTGCTTGGAGAAAACGGAGGCCGAATATCGCGATACTCGGCGTTAGAGCGCGTTATTCGCCCTTGGGCTGCTTTTGGGGCCTCCCTATAGCGAGCAAACCCTAGGAAATCGAGCCTTTCAGAATTTTGGCTGCAGTGACTGCAGTGACCGGGTCATTCGGCAGCTGATGGCGCCTGCAGCCACAAGGTTGCAGAAATTGCCGAGTAATAATATTGTCTTTAGAGCATGCTTGTACTCATGTGCACGATCAAAGGTTCCTAAAAGGGCGGCAAGCCCCAAGAACCTAGACATCGATGCCGAAGTCTCCCGTGCCCTCGCGAAGGCACCCCAAGGACACAGAGCTGTGATGTGTGGCCGGATTTTGCACACATACAAATATAAATACATAAATATATATATATATATATATATATATATGTATATATGTGTATATAGTCTAGACGGTTCTTGAGTGGGCCTAGGATCTTGTTGGGTCCGGAGCTATACAATAGACAAGAACTCATAGAAGACTATGTACATGTATATATATACACATATATATATATATATATATATATATTGATATATGCTGGTACATTTATGTCACATATATATATATAGACTTATGTACATATGTTAATGGCTGTAAATGTTAATTAACAATACATTCTATATTAGATATAGACCTGTGTAAGCATGGATTTATGAATGTATGTATGTATGTACATATAAAATGAACATATTTGTGTATACGCTTTGCACATGTATATGTATATACATATATGTATATTGTACGTGTGTGTGTATATATATATATATATATTACAGGGCTGTATATATGTGTAAGTTTATCAACTAGATGTACCGGGCCTATATGTGTGTGTGTGTACATATATGGGTAGGTGCACTATACTCGGATAGTATATGTGCATGTAGGCATGTAGCTGTGATCGATGGATATATGTGCTGGTATTAGATTATACAGTGCTGTGATTAGAATTATTATACACATATACAACATACATATTCCGCACAGGAGCAATGACCCCGCCGACGGCAATCAAAGCTGCTTCTCCGGCGAGTAGCAGCACGATCAGTACGATCAACAAGGCGCCGCAGCTCCGGAGACTAAATGCCAAGTCTACTTTGTCATCCCGGACTCCGACCTCTATGTACTCCCCGGGCCCAGGGTCATTACAAGGTTCGGCTATCAGCAAGGCCTCGCCACCTATCAGGTCCCCAGCACTTAAGAAGGTGAAATGCAAGGGAGAAACGGCGACACCGAAGAAGGCTTTGTTTGGGGAAGCTAGATTGCACTATTATATGTTCATGAGCATGATCGATGGTCTGCTTGTGTAGCTTCGGTCCCTACCCTGCTGTACTCACAGCCCAGGTTTCAGAATGCAATGATGAGTCGGCCCCGTCGGAGCCCACCCCAGGCACAGGATCTCGGCATGGCATTTAAATCTTCGGGATCTCGTGTATGTGCATGTAATATGACCTGTACACATGCTGAGCTCTTATGCATGATTCGCTGGATGCAGGAGATGCTGCCGATCAGGCGACCGCACCAACAGGAGCTCAGGAGGAGATCCCACCAGGAACTCAGGAGGAGATCCCAACAGGAACTCAGGAGGAGATCCCAACAGGAACTCAGGAGGAGATCCCAACAGGAACTCTGCAGGAGACCCCCACAAACACTCCGGATGAGGCCGTTGCAAGCCAGAAGAACATGGCAACAGAAACTCAGCAGGAGATCCCGACAGGAACTCAGGAGATCCCGACAGGAACTCAGAAGACCCCCACAGACACTCCGGATGAGGCCTTGCCAGCAGCAACAGGAACTCAGCAGGAGATCCCGACAGAAACTCAGGAGCCACAGATCCATACCATAGACACACAGTCGACGGTGCCCGGACTCGAGGACTCACAGCTCCTTCCTTGCATGGAGTGGTCTCGCGATATCCATGGTACCGTACGCGACATGCTGTTCCAGTGCCCCGATGTGCCCGCCTCGAACATCGATCTGCTGGGTGAGAACCTGGCCAGCTGTGTCCGGGTGATCCGGGACCATGTCTGCTTGGGTGCCAGTCTGGATGTTGGGGAGGTCACGACTCGGCTTGGTTTGGAGAACCTTTCCGAAGATGATGCTAGCTGCTGGGGGAGTATGTTTCGTGCCTTCGAAGCTCAGTATGAGGCAGCTTGTGTTCTGGAGCGCGAAGTTTGTGTTGCCCAGGAGCAAGCCCTGACAGTGTTTGTGAAGGAACAGCAGGCTGACGAGCTTAAGAAAATGCTTAGTGATCACCTGCAAAAGAAGACGCTGTCCCAAGCAAGCTTCGACAGCAAGGTGAAGGCCATCGAAGCAAACCTTAAGCGGTTCTACGAGGAGAGCCAGGTGGAAACCAATGCTAAGGTGAGGGATGCAGTGCTGCATCAAGACGGGTGTGCCGATGCACTCCTGGTGATGTGGGACAAGTTGCCTGTATCTGCCAAAGCAAGGCTTCCGGTCAGCTTGACTGACAAGGATGTCTTCGAGGACCCCGGCGACGACCAGGACTTGCTAGATATCGAGAAAGCAATGGAGTCTTTTATGAACGACATCCCGGGCCCAAGCTCTACTCTTGCAATTGTGAAGGCTCGACTTGCAGCATTAAGCCAATATTATGCAATGTTTGAGGCCCCGATTCAAGACCCTTAGTAATAAGAATTCCTGAATTCAGGCCGAGCCGACCCAGCCTGCACACGCTGATGGGGTGGTGATCGACCTCTCTGATGAAGAGGACAGAGTGCCTGAGAAGGCACCGGCAAAGGCGAC